ATAAACGCAAGAAAGGTCCACCCAGGTGGTAGCAAGAAGCCAGAGAGATAGATGAAAGTTTTGAAGTGGTTGTGTAAGCCAGGGGCCGACATATAAAAGCCATTATGGACTGGTGTCTCCAGTGCTGTGACTTTACATGCCGCCAGTTCTGTGATATACCATCGCCAGGATATACCTAAATAAGACGGAATGGTGCCTTCACCTCACCATAAGATTCTCGTAAATTCCTTAACATAATAGCATTAAGTTAACATCAACATAGACGTCTGAGTGAACATTGTTTCCGAAGACAGAGAGACAGAAATCATTTAGAAATTTTTAAGTAACTTTTTCAATTTTATATTTACAAACGAATCATAACTATGATAATTAATGTTAAACACGACGCACCCATATCAAGAACATTAAATCAATTACCTTTTTATGACCACTTGAATAACGGTATTTGGGTAATTGTTTGAGGGCGACGAGCCGCTCTGAGGGCAACGAGCCGCTCTGAGGGCGACGAGCCGCTCTGAGGGCAACGAGCCGCTCTGAGGGCGACGAGCCGCTCTGAGGGCGACGAGCCGCTCTGAGGGCGACGAGCCGCTCTGACGGCGACATACCTACTAGAAAAAAAAGCACCACCTGGTGTATTATAATTGTCCGAGATAAATGAAGATTGACAAAGCAGACAAATTCACTCTTGAATATCCATTTCAGTGCCTGTTATTAATTTATATGAATGTTTCTTAAGGAAATTATTTTTTTGGCCAAATAATATTTTTAAAAGCGTATATTAAGAACAGGTATGGTAGAGCTCACGCAGCCTGGAAAGATTGAAGCCAGTAGCGGCAAGTGGAGAGGAGGGGCCTGGAGCTAAGTCTGGACCCCTGCAACCACAAACAGCAGGTACAGTTGAGTACACACAACACACATACTTAAGGGAGAGCAAACAGAAATGCTGGAAGCAGGACGATGAGTCAGAGAATGAATGAACAGATGTGATGATTGTGCATTCGGAAAAGTGCCAGGTACGCCCCGACACTAAGCACCCTCAATCTTTAGCTCTCCTTTCCTGCTTAAACACAATAACTCACAACCTCCCAATTCAGGAACCCTGCTCTCCATTCCCAACTTCCAATTCCTGCTCCCTTACTTCCAACATCCCCTGTCCCTGTCTCCCCTGCCAATGTCCAAAAGCCAGGAATCAGGATCCCGAAAACCGGAATGGCAGACTGAAGAAACGAACAAGAATAATGAATGATGATGGCAGCGATGTATAACCCTCTACTGACAGAAGAAAACCAAGATAGTAGCAAGATGGCAACAGCAGAGCGATGGGGAACTCAATAGTGGAGGGGGACAGAAAAGTCCACAAGAGCAACTGAAAGCTGCTTATCATGGGAGGCTCTAACAACAAGAACCTGATACCTCACAGGTGGACCAGAAACAATGGAGTGTTCTGGAAATGCAACAGTACATCTAGAACACAACCTGAGAGAGGGGTGGGGGGTGAACCAGCAAAGGTTGGACAATGTATTCACCCTAAGTGATTCTGATGTAGGAGATACTGAATACAAGAGGACCCTCGGTGCTAGTAACCACACAGTCTTACATTTCGATTTCCCTGGTGAAGGTAAACTTGGAGAGAGAACGTGGGAAGAAAGATAGAAACCAAATATCAAGACAAACTACATAGGCATGAAGCAATTTCTAAATGAAGTGCATTGAGAAAAGGAACTGGAAGGGAAGCTAACCGAGAGAATGGAGTAAGTAGCTAAAAAGTGCCATGAGGCGGAGGAGACATTCATACAGATGATTAGAACATGCAATGTGATGAATGGTTTTGAAAACCGACAAGTTGAAGAATTGAGACACTTATGCAACACATGGGAATCTTTATTGAAGAAACGTTTCGCCACACAGTGGCTTCATCAGTCCAATACAAAGTAGAAATGGGTAAGGAGAGTAGAAGTATGAGGTAATCAGTCCCTCAACCTGGATTCGATGTGTTCAGTCCATCACTCTTACTACACTTACTACAAGAGTGATGGACTAAACACATCGAATCCAGGTTGAGGGACTGATTACCTCATACTTCTACTCTCCTTACCCATTTCTACTTTGTATTGGACTGATGAAGCCACTGTGTGGCGAAACGTTTCTTCAATAAAGATTCCCATGTGTTGCATAAGTGTCTTAGAACATGCAATGAAAATAACAGTAAGCTCATGGTTCACCCAGAAGTGCAGAGAGCCAAAAACCTGTACGTTAAAAAGGGAAAAAATATAAAAGGCAAAGAATGCAGGAAAAAAAAAGCGAGCAGAAGAGCCAGAAATGAATATGCAAAGGTAAGAAGAGAGGCTCAACGACAGTTTGAGAATACATAATATTAAAGGGAAAATCCGAATCAAAGTTGCTATACAGTCACAACAGGAGAAAACCAACAGTAAAGGACTAGGTAATCAGGACGAAAGAAAAGAGCACACAAGAAATTATCAGGAAGTCTCTGACGATGTAAGAGCAAGAAATATATGGAGGCAGAATTAGTGGAAATGAAGACATTACCAGACATCCAGAGAGGAAGAGTGAACCAGCGAGTACTGGATACAATACATGCAACAGAAGAGGTGAGGGAACTTTTGTAAAACAAGACACCTCCAAGAAAAAGGGAATAGACAACATTTCCTTTGGGTCCCATGTGAGAGAGCAATTGCATTGTGTTGAGCTACTAGCCACAGTCTTCAAGTCGACTGACACCAGGCAACTGCCAGAGGTGTGGAAGATGGCAAAAGTAGTACCAATATTCAAGAAAGGGAAGAGACAACTAGTATCAAACTACAGGCTGGTATTGTTGACATGCTGCGTAAGGTAGTGAAAATTATCAAGGGAAGAGTTGAGGAGCACCTAGAAAGTAGCTGGTTCATAACAACAGCCAACGCGGCTTTAGAGATGGCAAATCCTTTCTCACCAACCTTTTGGAGTTCTACAACAAAGTAACAAAAGCAAAGCAGGATTGCATAATTTTGGACTGTAAGAAGGCATTTGAAGCAGTACCGCTAAAAGATACTAGGACAAAAGCTAGAGGAGCAGGAAGGAATAACAGTGGTTCGAGGATTACTTCACAGGAAGGTGACAAGGAGTAACTGTCCGAGAAGAGGTCTCGAAATGGGCGTGTGTGAATAGTGGGGTCCTTCAGGGATCAGTACTGGGACTGGCATGATTTCTTGTGTGCTTTGATTACATAATGGAAGTAACAGAGTCAGAAGTACCGGTTTTCGCAGATAAGGTAAAATTAATCAGAAAAATACAAATAAGAGAGGACCAATAATGTCTACAAATGGACCTGGACAGGTTACAGGTCTGGTATGACAAATAACTCCATAATATAACCTAAGCAAAGGCAGAGTTATGAAGATTTTTTCGGTCAAAGATGATCGCAGATGGAATAGAGGCTTCTGGATGGGTCAAAGACTGCATTCGTTACTCAGAGAGAAGGACCTCGGAAATCGGGGTGCATCTTGTCCTAAGCACATCAACCGAATAACTGCATCAGCAATACGGGTATTGCAAAATCTCAGCTAGGAAACATTCATGACACTGTATATGGTATTTGTCTGGGACATAGTGGAACATGCAGCACCAGTATAAAAGGAACGCCTGATGAATCATGTCTAGAAACTGTAGAAAGTAAAGACGTTTGAAAAACTGCTTGTCCCAGATTATAATCTGAGACGAGATTAACGGAACAAAACCTTACGACAATAGAGGAAAGAAGGACTAAGGACGATATGACAGTGGCATACGAAATACGAAGTGGAATGGATAAGGTGGAAAACCAAGAATACTAGGGTACAGCAGGAAGCTGAAAGCACAGACGAGTCGCAGGGATGTTAGGGAGTATTTATTCTGCCTTATGAAGTGGAACGACGTGTACAGTGGAATGGTAGAGGTAGGATCCATACATAACTATAACAAGGGGTACGATAGCGCTTTCGGAGCCAGGTCAGAGTGAACCATGTAGCGACCAGCGAAGAGGAGGGGCCAGGAGTTGAGACTCGACTCCTGCAATCACATATAGGCGAGTACGTATATAAAAAAAAACATAAAAAAAGGCCAAGTGTCTATGGACAACAGACTCTGACAGATGGTAATTCACAAATTGGAACACAATAAAACAGGAGATTTAACAATTTTTAGCAAACTTTATCTTTGAATATTCCTGAAACGAACCTAATTATGAGAATCACAGTGCTAGACGTTCAGTCATGTCGACACAGATCAAGCAAATTGCGTTGTTTACACTTTCAGTAAGTTGCACAGCTCAACGAGAGTGCAGCGTGACACAGCAGGAAGTGCTTGAACTGAGGTCCGTGAGGTGGCTGCAGTAAGCTGTTGCAAGACCCTCGCAGCGATGTGTAAGTAAGTGTCAGAGTAACTGCCACAGAGACCATAACAAGGCTTCAATAGCCGGGTTTACGAGGAGGGCGAGACGTGGGTGGGGCGACCCATCACTAAACTACCAAGTTACCGTCACAAACATTAACACTGGAATATACACCCAGAGTTGTGTATACACATAAGGTTTATTTTAACCTCTGTTTTATAGATTAAAGTATTTTTTGTATAAGTAGCCATGTGAATGTCGATCATAATAACGCACGTGCAGTCCACAGGTATTAAACCACATAAATAACACAAAATTACCTTTTTCAAGCATGTTTTTTTACTACGAGGTTCGTAGGGTGGAGGGAGAGAGATGTAAGTTGTAGAGTAATATATATATATATATATATATATATATATATATATATATATATATATATATATATATATATATATATATATATATATATATATATATATATATGTTGCAGGGTGAGATATTTAGTTATAGAGTAATTCTTATATGTTGCAGGGTGAAAAATTCAGATTGTAGGGAGAGATATCAACATAAGCTGTTGAGTATTACATATACAGGGTTGGACAAATATAAACACCTTGCCCTTTAACAATTTTTATTTGCAATATGGAATTGGTTCGCAATTTGCAGCTAAAACAGCATCATTTCGTCGAGGAATTGATTCATATAGCATTTGAAGAGAATCCAGGGGAATTTTGAGCCATTCCTCAAGCAAAACCTGCTCTAACTCTTCCAAAGTCGACGATGGAGGAAACTGGTTCCTGACTTGCTGTTCTAACTGACCCCACAGATGCTCGATAATGTTTAGATCCGGTGATTGTGGGGACCAATCCATGTTCTTCACTCCAATTCTGAACAACTCTAGCGGTGTGTATTGGTGCATTATCGTCTTGAAATATAGCGCAATAAGGGACCTGTAAGACAAACTGATTATTCAATCGCAAGAGTTCAACAATTCAATGAGCTTGTGTTCAAAGTGTTGTGTTGTAGAGTGATATATGCAGCTTGAAGGGAGAGATACGTAGGTTGTAGAGTATTACATATATGTCGCAGCGAGAAAGATGAAGCTTGTAGGGAGAAAGATCCGAGACGTAGAGACACGTGGGTTGTGAAGTGAGATATGTGTCTTGTAGTTTGAGAATTGTAGGACTGTAGGATAAGCCATGGAAGTATAAGGTTAGACAGGTGGGGTTTTGAATGAGACATACAGGTGGAATAGAGTGAGGCATGTAACATGCGGGGTGTGAATAAGCCATGTGGAAATGTGCCATGTGGAGCACTGGGTGGTGTCTAAAATCAGACGTATGGGATATGAAGTGAACCGGGTGGTGAGAAAAATATGGAATATAGAGTGAAAAATAAAGAACGTGGAATGAGAAATGTGAGGCATGGAGTGATGTATTTCAGGGTGTGCATTGAGAAATATATAGGTTGCGGACTGAGAGATGTGTAGTTTGGATGGTGACATGTAGGATATGGAGTGAAATATGTGATTTGTGGAGAGAGAAATGTGGGATATGGAGAGAGACGAGTGGAGTGTGAAGAGACATACGAATTGAGTGAGACATGTGGGTATGGAGTGAGACACTTGGGGTGTGGAATGATGTATGAGGGGTGTGGAGTAATGTATGTTGGGTGTGGAGTGTTCTATGAAGGATGTGGAGTGGTGTCCAAGCGGGACATCAACCAAATCTTTACATGGACTACGGAAGTTCAATGAAGAGAAATTTCAGTTACTCCGATATGGAAAACTCGAGGAGATTAGAAGTGTAACGGAGTATAAAACAAATTCCAATCACACAGTAGAGCGAAAAATAATGTGAAGAACCTGGAAGTGATAATGTCAGAGGATCTCACTTTCAAAGATCACAACAAGGTATCTACCACATCTGCTAGGAAAATGATAGGAAGGATAATGAGAACCTTCAAAACTAGGAACGCCAAGCCCATGGTGATTTTCTTCAGATCGCTTGTTCTCTCTAGGCTGGAATACTGCTGTACTCTAACGGCACTTTTCAAAGCAGGCGAAATTGCAGACCTGGAGAATGTACGGAGGACTTCACGGCGCGTATATGTACGATAAAGCACCTAAATTACTGGGAATGGTTGAATCTGTAGCATCTGGATGCTAAGCGAGAGATACAGATATAGACCTTGGAGAAATCTAGAGGATAGTACTGGAATTGCAGAAATCACGTCTGAAGGCAAAACTGGAGGGATCAGACAGTTGGCAGATGAAAGCATGAGAGTTCACTAGAGACGTGAGTGATTATGGGGAAACTTATTTGGGAGATGACATGTATGAAGGCGGGATGTGACATAGATGTGGCGATGGAGAGACCTTGGTGTATAATGATGGTGTGGAAGTGAGTAGAGTGAAGTTATGAAGGGATGTGAGTGTGCAAGGTGACAAACTTCAAGTCATCATGGCTCGATCGAAGAGATTTCATGTACTGAATGGGAAAGTGGATGTTGAGTGAACGGAGATATAAGAATATAATCCACGTATGAGTGAGAATGTGAATGTGAAGGTGGAAGTGTGAATGTGGATATGTATAGGGTGTGAGTATTGCTATGAGAGATGTGGAGTGATGTAAGAGGAACAATTTGAATGCAGAGTCATGAGGATTTCAGATGTTGGATCTCTGAGTGATGATGTGTACGTGTAAGTGATTTCAAATGAGGGAAATTGTAGAGTGGATGAATGTAGTGGATCATGGGGTAGTGATAGCACTAATACGGGATGTGAAGTTTGATATAGGATCTGGATAGGCGAAGTCATGCCCTGTGACTAGAGGCTGTTATGGAAAGACACGGTGTGCAAAGAGGCGATGAGCTGGTGTGAAGTGATGTATGCAGGGTGTGACGTATGTACCTGAAGATGGGAATGTTTAAGGTGTGAGTGATGTATGAGGTTTTGACGTATGTATGAAGGGTGATGAGAATGACTTGTTGAGGGTGTCTGAAGAATGTTGATAGGCAGTGAGGAAGTATGTATAGTTGAAGTTGTATGAGGGTGTGGGCAGGTATAGCTGTGATATCATAGGGTCTGGAAGGTTCTGTATGAGCCGGTGCTGAAGGGTGTTCAGTAATGTCCAGGTTATGGTTGTATGAGGTGTGGAGTGTGTATGAGGGTGTGGAGTTGTATGAGGTGTGAGTTGTATGAGGGTGTGGAGTGTTGTATGAGGGTGTGAGTGTGTATGAGAGATGTGGAGTGATGTATGAGGGTGTGAGTGATGTATGAGGTGTGAGTGATGTATGAGGGTGTGGAGTGATTGTATGAGGGTGTGGAGTGTTGTATGAGGGTGTGGAGTGTTGTATGAGGGTGTGGAGTGATGTATGAGGGTGTGGAGTGATGTATGAGGGTGTGGAGTTTATGAGGGTGTGGTGTGTATGAGGGTGTGAGTGTTGTATGAGGTGTGGAGTGTTGTATGAGGTGGGAGTGTGTATGAGGGTGTGAGTGATTGTATGAGGGTGTGGAGTGTTGTATGAGGGTGTGAAGTGTTGTATGAGGGTGTGGAGTGTTGTATGAGGGTGTGGAGTGTTGTATGAGGGTGTGGAGTGTTGTATGAGGGTGTGAGTGTTGTATGAGGGTGTGGAGTGTTGTATGAGGGTGTGAGTGTATGTATGAGGGTGTGGAGTGTGTATGAGGGTGTGGAGTGTTGTATGAGGGTGTGGAGTGTTGTATGAGGGTGTGGAGTGTTGTATGAGGGTAGGTTGTAGAGGGAGTGTTGTATGAGGGTGTGAGTGTGTATGAGGGTGTGGAGTGTTGTATGAGGGTGTGGAGTGATGTATGAGGGTGTGGAGTGATGTATGAGGGTGTGGAGTGTTGTATGAGGGTGTGGAGTGTTGTATGAGGGTGTGGAGTGTTGTATGAGGGTGTGGAGTGTTGTATGAGGGTGTGGAGTGAGTATGAGGGTGTGGAGTGTGTATGAGGGTGTGGAGTGTTGTATGAGGGTGTGGAGTGTTGTATGAGGGTGTGAGTTGTATGAGGGTGTGGAGTGTTGTATGAGGGTGGAGTGTGTTGAGGTGTGATGTATGTATGGGGTGTGAGTGTTGTATGAGGGTGTGGATGTGTATGAGGTGGTGTTATGAGGGTGTGAGTGTTGTATGAGGGTGATGGAGTGTTGTATGAGGGTGGTGTATGGTGGATGTTGATGAGGGTGTGAGTGTTGTATGGGGTGGAGTGTGTATGAGGTGTGGGTTGTATGAGGGTGTGGAGTGTTGTATGAGGGTGTGGAGTGTTGTATGAGGGTGTGAGTGTGTATGAGGGTGTGGAGTGTTGTATGAGGGTGTGGAGTGTTGTATGAGGGTGTGGAGTGTTGTATGAGGGTGGAGTGTTGTATGAGGTGTGGAGTGTTTTGAGGGTGTGAGTGTTGTATGAGGTGTGAGTGTTGTATGAGGGTGTGTGAGTGTTGTATGAGGGTGTGTGAGTGTTGTATTGGAGGGTGGTGAGAGTTGGTTGTATGAGGGTGTGGAGTGTTGTATGGGTGTGTGAGGGGTGTTGTATGAGGTGTGGTAGTGTTGTATGAGGGTGAGTGTGTATGGGTGTGAGTGTGTATGAGGGTGTGAGGTGTGAGGGTGGTGTTGTATGAGGGTGTGAGTGTTGTATGGGTGTGAGGTTGTATGAGGGTGTGGAGTGTTGTATGGAGGTGTGGGTGTTTGGGGTGTGGAGTGTTGTTGGGGGTGGAGTGTGTATGGGGTGTGGAGTGTTGTATGAGGGTGTGGAGTGTTGTATGAGGGTGTGGAGTGTTGTATGAGGGTGTGTGATGAGGTGGATGTTATGAGGGTGTGGAGTGATGTATGAGGGTGTGGAGTGTTGTATGAGGGTGTGGAGTGTTGTATGAGGGTGTGGAGTGTTGTATGAGGGTGTGGAGTGTTGTATGAGGGTGTGGAGTGTTGTATGAGGGTGTGGAGTGATGTATAAGAGTATGGAGGGAGACATGTGATGCATGAGTGAAGTGAGACATCTCTAGTATTGCATGTAGTGTAAGGAGTCAGACATGTGGTTTACTGACCTATTTGTGGTTGCAGGGGTCGAGTCTCAGCTCCCGGCCTCACCCCTCAGCTGACCTCTCTTGGGTTTTCCCTTTCCTTGGCTGTCTTGGCCGTTCTACTTACTGACAACTCTAAAACTGAAGAAATGTTTCCTAGCATCCATATGACTTATCTGAATTTATTTTTTTAGCTGTGCCCTCGTTCTACAGCTCTAAGTAAATTACTCTGTCCATATTGTCAGTACTTTGTATGTCGTAATCATATCACCCCTGGACCTACTGTTAACGTCATTCGGTTTAGCTCATTTGGCCTTCTCGCGCAGCTCTCACCTCTCAGCTCTGGGACGAGGTTCCTTACAAACCAGCTTACTGAGATGCTTTATTAGATGTGGGTTCCAGACGGGTTATCCAAGACACTCCTGAGGAACATGTCTTGTGACTCCTTGCTGAGGTTCCAGACAGCAATCTTTAAATTTGCCAGCCACGCGTTTGCGGCGATGGTTATTTGGTTGATGTGCAATTCATGTGATATGCTCGGAAGCATGCTTACTCCGAGGTCCTTCTCTTTTAGGGATACTAGAGTTTTTGTTCCCAAGCCTGTACTCTTTTTCCAGCCGTCTGTGCTCCTTCCTCAATTTTCATAACTATGCGTCTGCTGTTGTTAAATTCCAGTATTCCGTTGTCAAACCAGTCTTACCGCTTGTCCAAATCCATTTACAACCTTTCTTGGTCTGTTTCTGCCAGTTTTCTTCTCATTAGTTTCACATCATCTACGAACATGCAAGACTCTGATCAGTCCTTGTCATTTCGTTTTCTTAAACAAGAAGGAGTACTGGTCCAAGAATTGACACTTGTTCAACCCTACTAGTCACATTTGCTCATTCTGACAATTTTTCCTGGAAAACAACACATTATGTTCTTCCTGATTAATATCTCTTGATCTACAGTAGTGTTTTATCTGTTATTCTAGCTGTTGTATCAGTTTCTTGTACTGTGCTGTATCGAGCGCTTTCTCACAGTAAAAAAAAATACGTTGTCCGCCAGCCCTCTCTCCCCAGCCTATCTTTAGTTACTTTGTCATATTGGTGAGACAGGATTTATGTCAAAAACCTTGTTTGCTGTTGTTTATTAATCCTATCCTACCTGGGTGCTCCACTACTCACCTGATAATCTCCAAAACCTTATGTATATAATGCCTGTCAGTGAAACTGGACTGCAATTTAATGATATCAGTCTGTCTCCCATTTTTAAAATATCGAGAACATTCTACCAGTTACCCTGTTTCAATTGACTTGTAGGCATGAAGAGGTGTAGTCTAGTTCAGTTGTCATCGAGGTATCTAGCTCACCCAGTTTTTTCACCTCTTCCCCATTTTGTGTATTGTGTCCAGCATTCGTTGGTGCACTATTCCTGTTTGACTCTCTGGAAATAATTCTGATTTAACTGAGAAAACCTCCCTAAATCATTTAACCTTCTTGTAGACTTCTTGGTAATATCTCATAAGCTGCTCTTCTTCCTTCCTCGTACTGATCCTTCACAGCTGCTTTCTTTGTGATAACCACCAACATTTGTAATGTATATACACCTAACTGAGCAGCAAATAAACAGCTCCAGGTTTAAAATATATTGTTATGGGCGTTCCTGCATAGAACAGCAATACGTTTGTGATATTAGGTAATATATGTATTTTATATACAAGATGAACATTACATATAATAATAATACAACTTTAAAGTGATATTCAGCAAGCAGTAATTATTTAATGTGTTTGTATGCGTGTATCTTCATATATCAAGTTTAGGTTAGTCTCTTCTGACTACAGTGACAGCGGGTAGATCTCCATTTTCTTATGCGTAAACGTTTTTCGAATAGAGCTAAATTCTTCTCTTATTTTCTGTCATCTTCCATCAACTTTCCTCCTGCCTTAAGCATTCTCAAATAAATCCCTGCACTCGTCCTTTCTTACGTGGTCGAGTAACTTTGGTTCAGTTTTGGCTTTCATTTCTGTATTATTTGGAAACCACACCCTGTTTTTTCTATTTTCTATTTTCCTATTTTCGGCCATTTCATCTCATCTCCCGGCGAAGGGGTGGAAACATCGGACTTGTTTCCTTACACCGGCTGTCTATGTTCACCCATCAGTAAAATAGGTACCTGGGTGTTAGTGGACTGGTGTGGGTCGCATCATGTGACAAAGCTGACCTAATTTGCCCGAAATGCTCTGCATAACAAGTGACTTTCTGTATAGTAGTATATCACTGATGTCAGTTAGGCCTGTATACCTTGTACATGTACTTGTAGTAAATAAAGATATATTATTATTATCTACATTTCTTCCAAGTCCTCCTCCGCCTTCTCTTAGCTTCTCTAAATGCCTTATTGACCCATAAATTCTGCTATTATTTCTTGTCTTTGCACTGGGTACCGATCTTTCCTTATGAATCTTCCCTTTTCCTAGTCGTTTTGGTTCGCCTCCGCTGCTTCCCTAACCACCAGGAAATGACCCAAAAAAATCATGTAACCACCAGTCCTGGTCAACAAAAGCATCATTTATTATCATTCTCAGCACGAACCTGCTAAAAATCATTGTCAATAAAAAGAAATGAGGGGCGGACTCTGACTGGCGAGAAATCAAACCAGCTAGTTCTACATTGGTCTTACCCAAGGTAACACTGCTCTAGATACCCTTTTGCATGGTAGCAGGCAGATGATCCACCACTACTGCATGAATCGTCTCCTGCTGATCGTCAAGGCAAAGCGTGAACTTCAGCAGATTGTGTAACTGTTTACCGGGACTTTGGAAAAACCCAGCTAAATTGAGTCGCACCCACCTTGCAGTGAGGTGTTCCTCTGGCAATATCCTCTGAACGAGTGGATCGAACGCCAAGTCACTGCCTGTTAAGTCTTAATAAGAGGACAGTAACCTGCGGCTGTTTCCCAGAGCTATTCTGAACGCTAGCAAATCTAGCAAGCAATGGGAGAGTGAAGGCAGATTAGCTGTAATCTGATCTTTATCACAATACACTCCAGGAGTTTTATAGTGTGCCTGTAATTAGCACCAATTATATCAAGTCCCAATATCAATCCGACTGTTAAAATCGTTTCCATAACATGTTGGCAGAATTAGTCGGGGCAGGTGCAGCAACACCGGAGGTGCTTGAAATACTGAGCTTGCCTGCCCAGGGTCTGACCAATCTGTCTGGGCCTTTTTATGTTTGCAACAAGCTTTGAGAACAAGGTCTTGTCTCTCACTAAAGCAGTTCTGAAGTTCAGCATCATCGTCGAGGTCAATTAATAGCTGTTCCAAGTGTTCATAAGCAGCTGTGTAAACTCGCTACCCGATTTCCAGTAGTTCTATAGTAGCCTCTACTCTATATATATTCTACTGGATTTCCATGGATCAGCACCTCACAGGCTTGGTGACGTAACCTTATTCCCTAGAGAATGCGCCCCTCTAATACTTCAGGGAGAATTAGACACGTGCAGTAACTAGGTATCTTTATTACAGACGTTTCGCCATCCAGTGGCTTTATCAATATAAATTCATGGATATAATTGGAAGACAGTAGAACTATATACCAAAGATGAGGTAATCATTCCCCGTCTTGGAGTTAATGAAAAACACAGTAGTCTTGAAGAGTATTCACGATTACGGTGCTTTTTATCAACTCCAAGGTTGAGGGACTGATTACCTCATCTTTTGTATATAGTTCTAAAGTCTTCCAATTATGTCCTTGAATTTGTATTGAAAAAGCCACTGGATGGCGTAAACGTCTTATAATAGATACCCAGATATTGCACACGTGTGTAATTCCTCATCTAGTCAGTACTGTATACTATACCATCACCAGTTCAGGGAACCATGACTCAAACCTCTATCAAGTCAGCACAGGGACTTTAGTACATCTATTAAACAACTTAGTGTTGCTGACTGCTTTCCTTCAGCCGTCTACGACCGATGACCACTAATTATACCACACCTCATGTGCACTCTCTCTCCTTCTTTCGGTCTGTTTTAGCTTGATCGAGTTTTCTGAGTAACTTCAATATTGAAAAAATTAGTTTTAGTTTTCTTCATACGTCATTTCTCGTATCTCTGGGCCAATTCTTGCAGCAAACTGCTGAACTTCTTCTAGTGTCTGGATAGGTTTTTCCACGTGAATGACTCGTGGTTGAAGTTCTTGAATTTAATATCATGGTTACGTTCCCAGACGCATATACAGCTCGGCGATTATTAGACGGTGATATTTGCTTATTCCTAAGTCCTGTTCCCTCTCTTATGTTTATATCCTTTGCGTCCTTTCCCAGTCTGTATTTCGCTCTTTTTCATATTTCTTCTTCCCCTGTTTTAATGACCTTGCACTTGCTAGTTTTGAGCTCCAATAGTCAGACGGGTTCTCATATAACCTTCTCCGGTGTTCTCCTTAATTTAATTTCGTTATTAGCTCTACAAAGAGCATAAGAGAAGGAGCATTGCACCACTACTACTGGCCCAAGCTAAGCAGGTCCACCTCACACCCACTCATGTCGTACTTCATCACCAGGAGTGTAATGTTTATCACGACAATACCAGTCTCAGAGTGCATCTTAATACGATACTGTTTTTGTAGATAAATGGTCCAGAGAACCGACAAGTTGATAAATTGATAAATTAGACACATGTGCAACATGTGTCTACAGCCTTCCTTTTGGGAATTTTTTTGGCATATTCTTCTATCACGATGAATACTTTCTATCCCAACCCCTTTTCCATACTGTTTTTACAGTTTGTGTGTTAGTCTCTTGTGAGATACTGTTGTTATATCATGGAGGAGAAAGGTAGAACCGTTTTACAAACGGTATACAAATAGCTGATAATAAAATGAACAGGGGAGTGATGAGGCGAGGCAGTGAGTACACAACTTCTCCTCACTACTGTGAGCTCCTTCTATTTCTACTCACAAATCAGAGTAACAAATTGAAGACGGTGAAAGATAATATATTATTCCACTCATTTACAATGTATTAATATTTACTATTGCAGTATATATGATCAAAGAGAAAGGGATCGATATTAAGGTAATTGGGGGGATGATACAAGAATATTAAGACAGAGCAACACAATTAGCTGACGAAATGGAATGTCAACTTAAAGAATAAAATAGATGTTAGTCGATCACTCCTACAAGACCAGTCAGCTTCTAGCCACAGGTCCCAATACGTTACACTCGGACCTCAACTCTGTCCCCTGAGTTCAGCTAGCAACTACTCGCACAGAGCTCCATCTCTGTGCCCAACCAAGGCTCCTCATCACGTTCTCTCTCTTCCCAAAAGTCCTCTCTCAGCTACTTCCTCTGTGCCTGTAAAGGCTCCCTTCTCCTTTACGTCTGATCAGAGGTCAGCTTCCATGGGAATTTTAACCACAGCCCCCTGATAGAACCAGGATGCCAAACTTAACAGCCAACACTCCTATCTCCGCAGACAGAAACAGGACACCTGGTCTCACATCTGATCTTCCTTCCTCACAAACCCTGATAATGGAGCAGCAGTGTCAAGGTATTACACTGTGGCAAAGAATATTCAATCCTCCCAACGTTCTCTTTCCTATTTGATCTGTGTCCCACTGTCATAAATGTTTAAGAAGACATTTTAGTCTCTCTAAACCCGTTCTTGACGTTCTTGATTGTGTCATACTTCCTCGAGTATTAGTTCACCCTCATTATCATCTCCATTACCTCACATAATAAGAAGGTCCAAGGCAGAATCATGTAGCTAACTACTGTCTCTCCTCTTGCTTCAATATTATCAGTAATTTATTTACCAGGTTACTTCGAGTTCTGGAAAGTGTTAGGGATTAATGTAGTCTCTGCTTCGTCACTGGAAGCTCAAGAAGATACTGTCTAAGGATCAATTGATTTTCGTTTAGCAATATATATTTACATAAGCATCAATGGAGGTGATGTTATCGTCTCTGCTAGTCTATCCATTCTCTCCTGCCCTTTAGCATTCTATCCAGATACCCTTGATTAAGTTCTCCAGTCTTATGCGGTTAGGTAACTATTATAATTCGTTCTTTGCACTTCATTGTTTTAATGTTTAAGTGCTTCCTCAAATTTATTGTTAATTTATGGGTCTTCTGCTTTTTGTTCCTTATCGCCCTAAACTTCGTCTCCTGTGTTCCAGAACTTGACAACTGTAGCTCAACCATAGATCATCTCCTTATAAATATAAACACCTATTTCTAATTACAATTTTGTGTGTGCACAGGAGGTGGACATGGAAGGTGAGCTCCAAATTTTTTGTCCAGCTAATTATTTTACGATCAACAAATATGGAATAGTCTTATGATAAACTAATTTGTTTTCTAATGTTAAAGAGTTTCTCTACCCATAACCCGCTTTCTTGTACCCCAACTAGTTCCTCTAATTTGCTGGGTAGTCTGTTTGGCAATGAATCAAATGCCTTCTTGCAGTCTAGTAATGTGTAATATACTCGTTTCTCTCTTCCTTGGTTGGCTTCTGCTGTGTTATGTTCCTAAAAAGGTTTGTAAAGTACAAACTTTGTGTTCATCCCTGCTGGTGTTTTGTGAGGAATTTAGTAGTGTCAAGTAGATAAATTAGACACATGTGCAACACTTGGGTATCTCTAATGAGGAAACGTTTCGTCACACAGTGGCTTCATCAGTCCATACAAAGGAGAATCGTGAAGAACATCGACTCCAGGCTGAGTGACTGATTACCTCAAACTCCTGTTCTTCACGATTCTCCTTTGTATGGGCTGATGAAGCCACTGTATGACGAAACGTTTCCTCATTAGAGATACCCATGTGTCGCACATGTGTCTAACTTATCAACTTGTCGGCTCTCTGAACTATTTATCTACAACAGTGTCAATATTTTATATAATTTTCAACCTGTCAGACACTGCAACACAACAGTATCTTCCACACTTCATCGGGTAACTACTAACTAGTTATGAGTGAGAATTGTTGGATTCCAGAGGGACCTGTCTTCTTACTTCTACTAGTGAATCCCGTCTCCTACAATGTCTTCGAGATCTTCGACCTCACCTTCGACAGTATTTAACACTCCGTTCTCATACTCCAGCTTCATGTCGTTCCAGACCATGGAGTTAAATTCTTCTCAAGCCTGACGGACCGACCACCTCAAATACTATATCTCCAAGATTGATGCACCGATCACATCTTCATTTCACTACTACACCTGCTGCCTCTGCATCTGACTGAAGAAGCCTGTGTAGGCGAAATGCTTCAATAATAAAGATAACCAACTGCTGCACATTTGTCTTAATCATCAACATGGTGCCAAGATGTTAAACAAGTTTCTACCTAACAATCTTTCCCAGTAATTTGAATGTTGCTTTCGTTAAGACACTGGTGTGTAAGTCAGGGCTTTCTGCCTGCTGTATTTCTTGAATATTAGTATTATGTGTATTATCTTCCAATCGTCTGATATTTTACCTGTTATTAGAGATTTGTTAAGGCTTGCACAGTTTGCGAGTTCCTTTTCTGACTACTTGTAAGTGATTCACTTTGATCCTGACGTCTTAATGTATCAAGTTGCGTCCAGAACTTCCTCTCAGTTCATCATTAGTTGTTTCAGTGCTTGATGATTATTTTTAGTTTAATCTATGTTCCATATTTGGTACTGGTAATTGCTCTTATTTAAACTCTAACAAATCTCTCCGTCAATTCAATTTTCCGTCAATTCAAGTGTTTTCCCTTCTATTCTCCCTGTCATTAGCTAATCCTGCAACGTTATTTTTCCTTTGATCTGACTGTGGTGTAAAGTAAATCTGTCCTCGCCTTATAACTATAACCATAATTTTTAAAGGGGTGGACCGGTAAGCCAGCGGAAGGCCTCGGTCAGATGCCCAAAAGCTCCAACAGCGGGTCATCATCTAAGACCCGCATCAGGAAACACTTGTCCTGTTTCCTGACGAATCTTACCTAACCTAACCTAACCTAGCCTGACCTAACCTGTCCTCTCCTCTGTTGCTTTAACCATTTCAACTCCGTTACTTATTCTCTTCTAACCTGAATTATAATACATTTCATGAAGCAATAAATCCGAGTAGATCATTCAACGTAAAGCCTGGTGGAGGCTCGATCCTCCATCAGCTAATCGCGGCTTTAATTTCTGGCCAATCATGTTGCTATTGGTGACCGCCGCCTCTCCTGAAAATACTCGCCTTTAACTTTTTTTGGTAGCTAGCTTTTTTTCTAGCTTTTCACGTCTTTTCATTAATATACCTAAACACTAACAGTGACGCACAGAGTTTTCTCTGAGTTTCACTGGA